AGATCGTATCACGCTGCTGGCGCAGCTCGCCTTCCTCGTCATCCCATGCGGGAAAAGAGGTGTCAGACTCATAGTCGACTACATCCTCAACGAGGCCACTCAGCACTGAAAGCGTGCGCGGAGAATATTCATCCCCCGGTGCCGAAGTTGGACTCTGCCCGTGCTCACTGTCAGAACCAGCGAGACTTGATGGTTTTTGTTCGTGGTCTCAGTGCTCATTGAGCAAGGAAGTTGTTAGACTCCAACAACTCGTTGAGGCAATAATCGATTGGAGCTGTAAATGTTTTCAATCTTAACGGGGGAAGGTGTAACGGGGTTACACGAACCCTAATAACAGGGGTGTCACACGACATGTGCATGGTGTGACCACACCCAAACAAGAATACGGCATGGGGCTAGGTAGCCAGTAGTTATGCATGTATCTACAATATATATTTAGTATATTTAGAGAAATCTAAACTTTTAAAATTAGGATAGAAATATATATAAAGATCAGTTTGGAATTTAAACCGAAGAGTCGATTAGCCTTGGGAAGGCAGTAAATACTCTTTGAGTAAGCGGATTGCGATCCACTACCTTATACTTGATTCTTGTAAGAAACGAAAGGTCGGTGACCTAAAGTACACTTCCTCAAGCGTTTTGCTACGGCAGCCCCGCTGCAAATAATCTTTCGATGATCTACATCCTTCTTGAGAGTACCCTCCCTTGGTCTCTTGGTTATGGCGGTACGTCGACTCTCGAGAGAGTTTTGGCGTCTGGCCAATGCTGAGATGAGCTATGAACGGATGTGGTTCAAGGCCGTATGCTGTGCAGAATGAACCTTGGCATGACGACATGAGGGTCAGATTAATCATCAAGAAGCGATAGAATAGACGTGCCAGCTTGAGCGACCACGTTGTGCCGCCCTTGGGATTCAGGCGAGCGGACAGCTCCCGAGCATGAGTCGCATCGCGGGTTCAGGGCTGTATTTTTGAGCTTGAGGGTCCCAAGCTGCTCAAGTCAATACCAGACCCATGTTGTGGTCTTACCAAGCTTTATCGAAAAAATCACGTTATTAAAGTGAGGCATAGTGCTTGTGCGGAATTTCGGAATCACTGCTTTGTCTAGCCAATAACAAGCCATAAATCTGCTAACATTATCAGATAATAGCAATTTTAAAATTGGTCCGTTCAACAAACAGGTAGAGTTTTAGTGTCTTGATATAATGCAAGTATCCACAAAATTGCTTATTAAAAAAACTTATCTTTGTGCGTCAGCGGTACGAGCGGCGCTGCGTTGTGGAGAAGACAGAGATGCCCTTCTTACCTCCTTTCTTTTTGCTACCCCTTCCAGCAACATTGGAAGAAATTGTATTTCCCCAGGGATGCGACGATCCGGACGCAGTAGAATTTTCAGAAGGATGTCTAGACTCGTTCGAAGGAGCGTCTCCAAGCGCCGGGAAGTACCCAGAATTTTCTGTTATTCGAGCAAATGACCGCTCATCATCCTCAAAAGACGTGGTTGTTTCATCTTCCGTCAAAAGATCGCTTGCAAATGAACTGCTGAGATGAAAATCCTCAACTGATTCAGCTAAGGTTTGCTCATAGGGCGATGGCCAGTGAGTGTTTTCGTGCTGCAGCGAAAATGTTTGTACTTTCGACTTATACATTGGAGACGAAAAGGTTGGCGTATTAAGCAACTTAAGCTTGTGCTCTCGCTGTTTGGCGCGCTTTTTTAAATCGTTCTTGAAGGCGCTAAGCGTTGAACGTGAAAGCTGCGACGATAAATCGAGTTCGCAAATGTAAAAATCGCAAAAGCGAGGCAAGTGGCTTAAAAAACGAAAGCGTTTTTGAGCTTCTTCGTCCATGATAAAGTGCTCGATATCCAACACACGGCCGTGAACTTGTTCCGGCACTAGATGGTATCGATTAGCAGGCGGTGATCTTGAATTCGCACAGGAAGTCTCGGTAGTCCACGTGGATTCCATTTTTACTTCGACCGCATTCTCATGTTCTAGCTCGTCAGTGTATTCTTTAAGCAAGCACTTCATGTTCAGCGGGTGGAGAATCACATAAGTTCCATTTGCAATCTGATAGAACGAGTACATGTCATTGGTCCCATGCTCTAGCGGCTTTATGCTCTGATCGGATGCGAAAGTAGTCACAGGTTTGCCATAAGTGCCACGACTACAATCGTCACTTATAGAAAGACGTTCAGATGTGTTCCGCATGGCTTCATTGACAAAAGGAAGGTTATCTACGTCGCCACTGCTTTGGAACTCAGCATCCATTGACTGGAGTACACGCATTTCCGCGAGCAGAAGCTCCCGCAAATACTCAGGTGTCGCTTCCAAAATGCGCGAGTATGTTGCGTCAGCATCATTCACGTTGGGTAGCTTCCGAGTACGTTTACGCGCAGCAAAGGTGGCAGCCTCCGATGAAGAATGCGTGAATGCACTTGATTCAGTGCAATCATCTGTCAACTGTGTTGACGGTAGTACACGAAGCTGCGGGAAGATTCTCGATTTAGGACGTTCAAGAAACTGAAAAGTTACATCAGACCCCACACGTGGAGGTATCTGCAGCTGTTGTAGCTGTACACTGCGCAGGTGGCCCTTTTGAACAGATTCAAAGCACATTGGACACCGACGCCAATACTTGTCTGTCATTGACAGATAGCGAAGAATGCATGGCCAGCTATATAGTTGCAATCATCACAATTTTTATAGTGCAACACCACGACGTAGATATTTATACGCACCAAAAAATGTGACCACATTTGGTAATTTTTGGTACACGAAAGGAGTCCATACAAATTGGACAGGTCTGAGGGTTTGCAGCATCATACCACAGCAGTACCTGCTCAACCAATGACCCTGCAAGTCATGGGTTACAATAAGTATACATGTGACGTATTAATATTGTGAGGTTTAGTTCAGTGTCAGCTTACATTCCGTGAGAGACTCAACATCCCATGTGGGTACAATGCATTCCGGGTCGAGTGGTGCGATCACGAATCGGTAGCTGATACAAGCATTCAATAATGATAAATTGTTCTTGACACAAGCGAGCAAATTATCAAACAGACGAACTTGGCATGAAGATATTCAATTTGAGTGCGTGGTGCCGAACTTTTCTTCTTCTTGTGATGATATTTTGCAAGATGCTCTCGCTCAGGCAAAGAAAAATTGAGCAAATGATTTGCAGAGACTCCATTTCGAGTGACTCGTGCTTCGTGGTTCATATTCTTATTCTACAACAATTTTTAACCATTGAGTGCCAGCAAGATAGTGTTAGATAGAATATAATCGCACCTGCTCTCTACGTGGTCCTCTGCGATCTGGGCCGCCATTACTGATGTTGCGACTTCCCCTGTTCCTGGAATCAGTAACGAGAAGATTTTAGCCGAATATCTCATTGCTAGATCTTGAAAGCAACGAAACGCACTTCATAATGGTAGTTTATATATCTGTAAATTTAAGCACAAATTGTTCTTTAATTGATGAAAGAAACAAAATAGTATGATGATCAGCACCAAAACGTACACATCTTCTACAATTTCTACCAATCACAGTTATTAATATTATTGCGGCAAGGCACATAAAACTAAACCATGGCGGAAACCAAACAGGTGCTGCGTGTGTACCGGCGTCTGCTTAAGCTAGCGCAGCATTATCCGAGCATCAAGCGCGAGGCGATTATTCGTGATATCAAGGAAGAATTTCATGCTAACGCGATAATCACAGACGCGCAAAAAATCTGCGAGGCAATGGCATCGGCACATGCAGGCATCAAGGAGCTGTCAATGTACGCTAGTTTACATCCCTCGCAGCCTAATTGGAGCGTTGAGGTAGGACGCGATGCGATACAGTCGCAATTGCGTGAAGGATCACAAGTAAAGGTCGTTCGCGACGGCAACAAAGCAGTTAAAAAATAAACAAAACATTGTGAAAATAAGTATCTTAATGGGTTACATTTTAAGTGTTAGGCAAACTTTGCAGCTTTGGCAGCACTGATGACAAACAGGACCAATTTGCGTTTGAGGAACGAGGATCAAATCGCAAATTTGTTTAGACGTAGCCATGTTTGTGAACTGACTAACTGGGCGTATCTCGTCAGCGGCCTACAAAGGCCACAATATTGTAAGGCCAATGAAAGCTGCAGTACAGTTAGCGAAACTCACCGTAATGATGTGAGGGACGCAAGCGCCTTCGTCGGCGAAGTAGCCAAACCAATAGGTCTGCATAAATTTTTGTGGCCAGCTGTGCGAGTTCGGCGACGTTGCAATGAATGCTAAAACCTCTTGAAACATGGCACTTCGTCGAATCTCATCCTTGACTTGTAACAGCTCAATGCGTTGCCGTAACTGAGTAAAAGTAATTGTGGTAGCTTCTTTGTCGTCGATTAAGATCGTTCCCACAACCGGAAGATGACCACCCTACATGGAGAAGTATACTGCTCAGTTAGATGTACACTAAAAAGTACCGCTCATTGTGAAAGTCGCACCTCAATAGATCCTACGACATATGAGTTCTGTTTTTGGGGGTCAGATGGAAATGTGAATACGCGAACCTTCACATGAATCATGTCAAGAATTTCTACTGCAAATTAACTAGAGCAAAACATCAAATGGAAGGCATTTGAACAATGCGAAGTTACGAGTCAGAGACTGGATCAATTAAAGTTAAATGAAACTCCGATTTTTTTATAAGTACAAGATATCTTTTGCCTACATTTAAATACAATGGGTCGGCGAGATTTCTCCATTCGAGATTGGAAATGCGAGACCTCTCTCGAATTTTCACCCCCAGAAAAAATCACAGCCGCTTCGTGAATGATAAACGCCCGCCTTAACTCGTGATTGCTCGATTTGAACGCCATCGCTCAGAGACTGCTCAGATGTAAATCCAACCAGAGCGCTCGAAGGCCGTGGACGGGTCCGGCTTTTCCGCCTTGAAATGTGGCGAATTGTTTATGTACTTTTCAGCAGATGCGCTGCTTGCCAATTGGTACGGTAGTACGTGCTTTAATCCGTCAAGCATTGTGGTTATGTGAAGGATACTTTGATAGTGCCGAAAGGCTGTTGATGACGATGCGAATTATGGAATGAGCTACTCAATCTACGCACAGCTGTGATCACATTCATATCGACACAGAAATCGACAACAAAACCCATCCACCTTCGAAGTCGAATTTTCTTTGTGAGGAATCTTGCTTCGTTATTAAAGGCATAAGCGATAAAGGCTCTTTTAAAATAATACCCTCTAAAAGTCGAGTGTTGAAGTTGCTGTGTTAGAAGGCGGAATACATGCTGATTGGCTGATGCTGGCTTGTGTGCGAGTATCGTGATGCGATCGCGTCATCGGTACTTCTAAACTCACGCGATTTGTCGACAACGGTTCAAGTACATCTAAATTATAGTCTTTTAACTGCTTGTTAAGTAAAAGCAGTGTAAAAGAAATACTGAGAAGCTGGTATAGAAAAACGTAGACTTTCTTGATGGCAAAACTCTTGTGATGACTAGAAATAGTGATTAGGAAACCATAGCGAGGAGAGTTTAAGACAACTGCATAGCTGTGCGACCTTTAAAATGCAGAAGGAAAGTTGCATCAAAATATGAACTTGTCTTGACGTCAGATTCAAAGTAAGTTCTGCTTTAAAAAATTTCAATTGCAGCCTTATTTCAAACACAAGTGTTACTTGCACTCTACATGAAGTCACGAGTACGCTAAAACTCCGCACTAAATCGCGTCTCAAATGAACCTTCGTCTAGCACAACCTCGTTGCTCTTGAAAATGCCCTTTCCAAAATACTCTGCGATGGTATGGAAACCGTCTACAGCAGTTTCAAGCTGATTGTAAAACTGCTCATGGTTTCCTGCTTTTTGTTCAAGCTGTGATTTGAGTCCCAAAATGTGGCGGTGGTCCATTGAGCACGTAAGACACTCCCGATCGGTCTCAGAAATGCAATTGAGATGGAAACTATGTTGACACATAAAGTGCACAGCAGGAAGATCTAAATCGTGGTTGCATAAGTCACATTTTGTTGCCTGGAAAACCACAGCACGACTGCTTAACTGGGCGATTTCGTCCTTCATCTGCTTTGTATCGCTCTTAAACGCTTTGATCTTCTCCTCGTCCTCCTCTATCTTCTTTTCGTCATTAGCCAGCTGGCTCACTACATATTGCTTAATGACTGATACTGGTAACTCGCGGGACTGACTAAGCACCTGCACCACCTGGAGGGGAGGAATTGCTGGGTTTGTGTCGATCAAAACAAGTAGCTGCTTAAGTTCCTTCCACTCTTCTCCATCAATTGCCCCCTTGGGTAGTGGTCCTCTTTCTGCAAAATACTTCAAGGCCAGAGACCACAGATTCGGATCCTTTTCTCCGTGCTTACGCACCTCCTCTAATATACTTTGATCATCGCTCTCTTCAATGTGGAACTGCACTAACATGTGATACATGTGCAGTTTGTTGTACAAATAGCGCTTTCCCTTTTTCATGCTGTGCATTTGCAAGTGAATCAGCGCATGGTCTTCATCATACTTGACCCGGGGGTTATCGAGAATACGCAGCACAGCATCCTCCTTCTCTTCCACGGAGCGCAAGCCATTTTCACCTTCATCATCATCACTAAGAACCATCTCCAGCAACGTGTTACCGATCGACGTGTTGCTTATCGTCTCCACCTCGACAATGTACTGCAGAAATTCTTTCAATTGCGCACGATGGGACACAAACAAATGTAAGAAATCACCCGGGTCAGATTTCAGCGATGGATTGCTAGGAACAAACTTTCCGGTGCACAGTCGCTTCAGCAGCTCTGTTGTAGGTGCTGGCATATGTGTCACGAGCGTGCGTCCATATTTTCGCAAGTTTGAGTCGGCTTCTGAGAAGCTTAGATGTTCAATGTACTCCAATGCATCGGCCACGCGTTCCTTCTCGCTCTCTGACAGCGCAGCAGAGTCCTCCGAATCAACATAGCTGATGTGATCCAGCTGAATTTTCAAATACCAACTATGTTCTTCATGCTTTTTTGCCAGCGTCAAGGCGTGCTGCGGGTAGTTTTCCCACAAAACACTGATGGCAGTTTCGACATCAAAGTTCAGGTTAGCTGTCGCACCTCCATTTCTGAGCATCAAGTCGCCAGAATTGCGGTCAGTTTTCGTCTTCTTAGCATCAATTACCTCATCCAACTGAATAAATTTGTCCAGCTTTTGCACATCCTTGAGCTTTGTGTAGCAATTCAGGAGCAGTGTTGTATGCTCGGCATTCGCAAACGCTTTCTCATGGAGAGCCTCGAGATAAGCCGTGAGATTATGAATGCGTTGTGCATCCAAGAAACGACGAATTACGTATGATGGCTCAACATGACCAATTGTACGTACGTACTGACGCAATGAGCCGTCATAATCTCCTTTTTGGTACAAATGATCACCATACATGCGAAAGATATCGATAATGCTGTTGACGTCATAATTTGAGCTGAAAGCCAACGAAATAGCAATTGAGTATAAATTCTTGCGAAACAGAATCTCTAATTTGGACGTCGTATCCTTTTCGCTCAAGCGGTACACGTGGCCCATGGAAGACACCACGAATATTGCGCCAAACTCACAGACGACGTGACGAATCTCTTCCATCTCGTCAATTCCAAAACGTGCACCGGGTGCACGGGCATTTAAAGAGAGCGGTGCCTTTCGTATAGGCCCCTTAGAGCTTGTGCTAGTAAGCGTCCAGTTAAACGCGATGAACTTGTTCTGGAGATCGTAAACGTTTACCTGGTGTCGTCCACGCGGGTCCACATGTGCCACTATTAGATAGTGCTTGAAAAAACATACAAATTTTTTTTCACCTTCAAAGCCAAAACATACGGAACGATCTTCAGTCGTGTAAAAGTAAACAGCATCCGTCTGTCCGACAGCAATCTCTCCTTCCTCGTTGACACAAGAACAATTCATTTCCACACCACGCTCGTCAAGGACCGTCGTACGCGGCGGAAGTGCAGCTGCACCACCAGCACTTTTAACCAAGGCAGGATCATCATGCGAGCAATGGTAACACGTGAGTCCACGACCCGTCGATGCATACAAAAATACATGCGACAGAGTAACTGTGACAGGCTTACTGGTAAACGCTAGTCCAGTGACTGGATACTGTCCTGCCGGCTGCAGCAGATGAGGTGGGCGATCAGCACGTCGCTTTAAGTCACTTCGGAACAAGATCACGGCGCCATTTTTTAACCCCACCGCAAATTGACTCAAGTCGTCGTTCACTGCAAACGCGGTCACTGCTTCTTCGGGGTACTTTTTAGCAAAAATAGGGATCTGCTGCATCAGCTTAGGCTTGCCTTCTCGATCTTGCTGGTCGGTGCGCCAGAAACGCACTATTGCAGTGCTTTTTCCGGTTGGCTTAGCTGTATACATCTACAGAATTGCAAGATGATCAAGATTAATTATAAATAAGAAAACGTAGTTTTACGTACGTCTTCCGCATTGGGTGCACGACCAGCTTCAGCGATGACTTTTGACTGTTCTCGCAGCTCCTCAGATCTTGGATCGATACCATCACCGATTGTCACTAGCACGTTACTACGTTTCATCTATGAATCGACGATAATAGGAGTGCATCTGTCGTTAGTCCATTGTCTGACATAGAACAAGATTTTCAAGCTGAATGACAAACCATGACGACATGTGATACGAACATCTCATGAGCCTGAAATTTACGAGCTTCCATTGAGCGGTTGGCTAAGTAAACAGATCCATCAGCATCTCCCACGCAGATAAGGCCACGATTGGCGCTCATGCTAGTGATATCCACGCCCTATGTGAGGAACACGATTCTAAGTTATATAAAGGTGGTGATTTCAGCTCAGGAGCAAGTGATAACGCACTTTCATCCATGGACCGTTCGCATCTTTGAGAACTTCCTTGTCAAAAAAAGCAAAGCGTCTCCACTGCGCCATGGCTTACGCTTTCTCTTCAAATAAGGCGTACTTAGTGATATGTATCATTTTGTGCTTAGTACGACATAATTTGATAAAATCGGGATTTTATTCATGTGTTAATAAAGCAATCCGAATTTCCAATTTTCTATACTAAATCATGAGACTTCCAGGATGTATGTGCGTATTGAGGAAGTACTGTGATCTTGGGCTAAAAAATTTGCATGTTTGTTTTCATCAATACTGTACGACCATAAGAAATTCTCTATTTAAAAGTACAGAAGTACCGGTATATCATCAAGATGATAGGATTCGTGAAGGGAGTCGTCCATGGCACTTAAAGCCAGAATAGTACGAGAGGTAGTAAATCGTATATACATAGTTTTGAAATCAGTAGCACTAAATTGAAATATTGATCCTCTTGTAATAGTAGAGCTAATTAGGAATTAAGTTATACAAACACATTTGTGTTCTTCGTGGGCCTACTGAAGCCATGCCACGATTCCGCTATCACAAGCCGGTCGGGTATGAATAACTCTGTTGTAGACGAAGCAGTGTCTCTACGATTCCCTGTAGCTGAGCTACCTTTTGTTTCAAAACGGTGACGCGCTCTGAGCCGTTAGAAGTAGCCACGCAGTGCGATGTCGAAGCTTAAAGAGCATATCCGAGATATAACTTATCAAAGCTTCGGACGCACACCGGGACTCTCGAAGAGAATTGACGTGCCGCCACAATCGAGAAGCTCACGAAGACTAGTTGCGGGGGGATATACCGCCATCTGCACTGTTCGATGACCCACTCACACACGATATGGGTGGGTACACCAGGACTGTTACAAGGACGCAGCACGATACTTTGACAGACTGATGGGAGATTGAGGTTCCACTTTAGCAAGACTGTCCACTTGCCGTGGTCGTTGTTGACCTGGCGCACCTTTGGCCTTTTTCCTTAGGTAAGAGGCAGGGCCACCCATCGATTTCTACTGAGTTCGGCGGCATGCTCGACACTTGGTTGGTAGCTGTAACAGCTGTGTCATGAAGGCAAGCAGGGCTGTAAGCAGTAGGAGCCGAAGATGATAAATTTTATCTTGATCCTCACTGTGTTTTGTACTTTGCAAAGTCAAAAAGTAGATGACGCTCTTGTTGGGCGTCTGCAGAGCTGAAGCTAGATTGTAAAGCTTCATGACTTATGAGACGGCGCACTTTCTCCATTCAGTGCGTGAATTAACGCAATGCTCTTCACGCCTATGCACACAGGTTTTTTACTCATATCGACATCGAGAACAAAACAGAAAGCTGCTCGGTGAGCGCTCTAGATGGCATCGGCCTTATTCTTGCTTTTGTAGCCGAGAAAAGCTAAGCTCAGCTCTTAAATCTTAGGTCAGATAAATCCGTGAGCTCCGTGACGGGCTGTCACAAAACATTCTGTCGATGGTTAAGGCATCAAATTTGTAAGTCATGCAGGGGGGGACTTGGTGCAGTGAATGCCTTCTCATAGGTGAGCGACTGGGCTGTTGGGTTCGAGCGGAGGCACCTGGCTAGGAAGTGGAGACGAATAGCGACCATTCCTATCAAAAATTACCTCGAAATTCTCAGAAATGATTTTTTTATAGTATTATCCATCCATTCGAGTCAGTGCACGAGATGGGCACGACTACTGGGATGCTCTGAGAGGTGGGCACAGTTTTTGCTAAGGGTGGAGTTGCCTCCAAGCGCAGAGGTTGCTCGTTGAGCGATCACTTTTGTATCGGGGTTACCCGTACCCAGAATGTAACGGAGTTATATGTACTCTTGTATATAAGGGCGTGTCACTCAAGATGGTTTGACCGTACAAAGGTGTGGATTACATAAGTTTGTGTAATCACACAGTGGTGTGGCTACATCGTAAAAATGAGCCACTACGTGGCAGGACCGCCAGTAGTAATGCATATTAATTAGACTACTGTATTAATCAGGAAGCCTGAGGTTTTAGATAATGGCTCTGCCGCAACTAAACAATTATATACTTTTTTTTGGACGGAAGAGCATCATTCCCTTGGTTTAGGTTTTAAGTACTCTTGGAGGTAGCACTCGTACTGGTTCTTGCAAAGAACGTAAGGTTGGTGAGCTAAGCTCATCTTCCTCTAAGCAAAGGGCTACGGCAGCCCCGCTGCAACTTTTGAACAACGTTTTGAAAGACAACAGAGTGCGAACACAGATGGAACATATCCAAGCGGGCGATGGTATTTCGGCGTAAAGTATCGTAATTTTGTATAGCTACCCTTCTGGGGTTGTTTGTCTAACAGCAATACTGTTCAATTGTACAGTATCCACACTGACATAAATCTTAAACTGCATTCTTGTGCAGCGTTCTAGATTCTTCGAAAACTTGGCATCGTCCACTCTTAGAAGACGCACATCTGGTGAAGCTCTCAAAACTTGCCGAAAGGTAGTCATATTCTTTTCAATAATATTATGGACCTAGTCGATCTTGCACATAGCTCTAAACCCAAAGTTGTCTACGACACACGCAAAAATTATAGATTAGTACAATTTATGAGCTACTACCGGCAATTCTAATTGTCAACCCAAATACGTTTACGTAAACTTGATTTTGAGCTATATCAATCCTAACGGCATACTTTACCAAAATATCTGACTGGCTGATCCAAATTTTACTCGATTCACTTGACATATCACTTCAATCGCTCGCACTTCTATGTGTATGGAAGCATTACCTCTCCTACGAAGACACAAATTCAAGGCTTCTTATTGCATTACACAAGGAGTATTGATTAAAAGCTGGACACATAAGACTCACAAGCCTTTCGACGTATAACTGATAAGCAGCTGAGTTATCATCCATCATAAATGTGTCTGTTGCAGAGGACACTGAGTTTGAAGATAAGGAAAGCTCCCATATTTTCTTTGACGAGTAATATCATGATGCAATACCATCAAGCGTATTGTCAGCAGATCCACCATGCATCTCGCTTGGATTAGTTATTGCGGCATGATATTACTTTTAAGAATCAAATACTCCGTCAAAAGACACCGGTACTAACTATAAGAATTATGTGACGCCAGATACCCTTTCTTCCGTATAAGCGTGGTGCAAGCTGGGTGGGAGAAAGTAAAGCTTTCAGTTTGGCGTCGACTTTCTGTGTCAAAAAGGCTGACAACAAGTGGTAAATTGGGTACGCTTACAATAGACTAAATGCAGCCACAATTACGGTACTGCACCGATTTCACGAAGGGATGTGCTGCAGAACAGCATGGCCGGATGCAGCATTCAGCGCTGTCGATCTACTCGATGGGTATTGTCAACAATTATGGGAGATATCTTAACAAGATGGCGGCCGCAAGCGATACTTGCTATCTGATCTTTCAAGATTGCTTCTAAAAATTTGTCTTTCACTAAAGCTGTCGCAGCCTCGTGTCCCAGCGCAAAAAAACGCGTTTGCTTTCTACTAACGATAAGCTCAAATTTCACGACAGCTTTGATCTACAGTCCCCAAAATATAAGTTTGCAAATACGATACAGACAGTGATTCGATTTTGACCCGAAGTCTACAGCGTTCATGTTTATTGATACGTTCAGCAACCTTTCCTGAGCTGGAAACTGAGACGATAGAATGCAGCCGTATTTTGCGGCCTCCAAATTACATATCTGTGGGTATAGGAGACTGTGGGTTGCAAGTAAAGAACCTGATACAGCAAAGGGGGATTCATCTATGAAATAATGCAACTGTCGAGCTGAGTCAGTATATCGATTGAGCGTACCCGCCGTGTAAAGAACACTCATATCTGCGAGTTTGAGACGCCGAGGGATATTCGTAAACTTGAATTGACTGAGATAATACTAAGATGCCTAAGTTTTCACTTCCAAGGTAGATGGTCGTGTAGAGCTTATAGAATTATCTTAGAACGAGTCATGCAAGAAGTTACAGGAAGGTAATTCGCCAAATATTTGTTGATATTGAAGGAGAGGAAATGAGCTTATTATCCGTCATCGATAAGTCTATCATCGCAGACATTCGAATAATTATGAATACCGGAGGTGGGTCAGCCACACAATAAACAACGTATTCGATCAATATATTTGTTTGTGGGGTACTATGACGCGGCAGATGATGTCTTTTTATCAAAAATTCCGACACGAGACTGGCCTAGTGTTCGATATATAATACCGTGTGACGTGCCAATGGCCTTTGCTAAACGTTGCGAAGTCATCGACATGCAAAGCTGAGAGAGTGTATCTCACGATATTTTGTGCCACAAAGACTTCGGATTAATGGGGAATTGTGCTTAGCGTCACAGATGGTTTGACTTAATCAAATCATCTGTGACGCTATCGCTTTAGCTATTATTTTAGCTTGCGTTTTGACTTTTCAGCGGATGCGAATTGGGTTGAATTTGGCGCAGCGTATATATCCCTCCAGCCTACAAATACAGGGAGGAGTTATCCAGCTCACGACACTGAGATACTTGCCATGAGGTATACTCTTATCAGATCAGGACACATGTAATCAGCTCTATTTCGTTTGCGATCTGCAAGTCTCGCTACAGCATCAGGGCTTTCGTGTATTATTTCCCATGTGGCATGGCTACATCTTAAAATCAAAATGGCTATCTTTCTTGCCGATTGTGACTTTGGTGACAAAAGCAAGCCTGATTGGCTTAATGTCGAGGTAGACAGGCCTTGAATCATGAGTATTTTGTATATTCAACGGAAACATCAACCAACGACGATGCTGCTCGCATGAAGTACAAACTAGACGCAGTTCACGCAGCGTTTCTTAAAGAATCGGAAGAAAGGTGATCATGAAGTCAGATATTACTTTATCGCCGTATCTGCATGCGCGTTTTACGCTGCTACGTTTTGCTCAAAATATCTGTATAACAGCGCGGTAAAACTCGACACACAATGTGCGTTTGTGTCATGATAAATACCTCAAACATAGAATTTTAATGAAGCACAAGATACTCCCTCAGGAGGACACTTGAGTCGAGAAAAGAACTCCGGCTCAGTGATCGCTATGTAGTGGTTGGTGCTCCAAATGTACGAATGAACAGGCAATTACGTACTACCGGTGAAATGTCAAATGAATATCTGTCGCCGCGTGCTTGGCGCAGCCGGCAGTTTCGGGCACAAATCATTGTTTAATCTTGCTAAAGCCGTCTTTGATAACACCTAATTGTGGTCTATGTAGATAAGTTGATCGGTAACGGCTCTTCTTGCTGATAACGTTACACCGACACTGGTGAATACATAGCCTGCTCTTTGATGGCAACATCTTTCACGAACATGACTTGCCTATGGTTCAAGGGAAATTTTGATTGACAACACATAGTGCATCTGACATGTTTTACGGGTTCTTTCAAATCAAATGCACTCCTCGTAGGCAACATTGGCACCCCCTCATTTATTGTGAAAATGTTACTTTAGTCACAATTATAATGCTACACTTTTTTATCGCAATATATCACAATAATTTTGCGAAACTTTGACTTCATTACTGATGCCACGCAACGTACTCGAAGCTGTAGCTTACAATCTGAAAGTTGAGAAATGTATCAAAATGTTACACGAGCGGACGTGCGATTGAAATCCAGCTTCTAGCTTCAATATGATCTGACCAACGATACAAGAAACACAAGTGCTGGATTAGTCTCAGCACCTACGTTTTTCGTCCACTATCACAAAGTTGTTACGCGTCGCTAAGTCATCTGCCTCCCCGCTATCAAATATCAAACTCGATTGTTACGTATTTCGCGTGTTATACAACTCGTTTACTAGAAAATGTTTTTGGGGGAATTTCCCCCAAAGACATACACCATAACTTTTAAGCAGTCTTCTCCAGCCAATAGGACTCAGTTGTCATTGGGATACAAGTCTGTCCAAGAGCGTTATAAATATCAGTTGTCTGCATTTGAGTTATGCCTAAAGCTCCACAACCCAGACTTTTAAGGGATTTCAGTTTTAAGCTTACGGAACTACGATGATTTTAAGTCGCTATAGGTGTTTCTGATAGCCTAGGGTACATGTAATCATACTGAACTCTCTCTGAGGTTTTGGCTCAAGTTTCGTTTAAAAGGCCACCAAGTGCGAACGAATTCTATCGATAGTTCGCGCCGTATCATATTGCAGGTGCAAAGCGCGGAATGCGTGGATCGCGTGAAGACCTGATCTAAACGTATTGCCTGAACGACATCCCTTAAAACATTAGGTTAACCGTCTAGATTGACTCAAATTCTCAGCGATATTACGACGCCTCTTTCAGGGGCAGTTCATGGCGCTTGATTTAAAAGCTTATGAGGCAGTCGGATAGACCATGGGACCGTGTGGCTCACTCACAAGGCAAGTCCATTCAGTAGAATGTACAAGAGGGCTCAAATTATACATTAACAAGAAAGATTTTCGATTCCTAGCGCTGAAGGGCCCGAGGTTAGGCTCGCAGGCTTAGCTCATTCGAAACACATTAGGAATAACCAATCGAATCTTTCTAATCGATGCACACGCCTTGGTGACATCGCGACGGAAGTTGCACCAAGTATTCGCGTATCGTCAACGCGTCAGTCGCAAAAATTCTTCTGGCCGATATTAAAGACTGCTGAGGATAAAAGGAAGCCCAAAATGGCTCCAGCAATAATCGCCATTGATGTAGGCACACGGAATACCCCAACCATTAACGCTGTCGCTAGACCCACAGCGGCACTTGCATTGGTGCGTACTGCTTTCTCCCACAACAGAAAAAAGGAAGCGACAATAAGCCCTGTTGCAGACGCATTGACACCAGAAAGAAAAATTTGCAGGCTCCTGCTGTGACGTACACGCTCCCAAAGCGGAAGTAATCCAAAGAGGAGTATAATACCGGGACTGAATAGACCGACGCTTGAGATCAGGGCTCCAGGAATGCCGTAAATAAGTCCACCGATATACGCCGAAATGTTGAATAATGGCCCTGGTAAAGATTGCACTAATGCAAGACCGACCAAGAATTGTTCTTTTGAAATCCACCCGGTCAAAACTATATCGTTCAGCAGCATTGGAAGCATCACTTGGCCGCCGCCAAATATAATGGAACCAATCCAGTAAAAACTATAAAAGAGTGACACAGGCGAGTACTCGCCACTTTCCTGGGGATGGTATTTTGCAAGCATTATTAAACCTGCTAACCAAGAAAGTACAATCATTGCGCCAACAATTGGATGGATTCCTATGTGCCTAGCGATATCCAATTACATCAAGTCATCAATACCTCGTGTCATCTGAAGTAACAAAGTGCACTTCTTGTACCTCTCAATATGGCTCAAGGCTACTTGATCACTAGAAATTGAAAATTGCGAATAGCCAAGCATCGTCGAAAGTAATATAAATAGTCCACCTGATGCCATGACTACAGGAAAGATTAGCGAAGATAAACCTTGCGTGGCCAGCACCACGCATGCTGATATCGCAGCTACAAAGCTCTTTGCCGAATCGTCCTCGCATGCTTTTTGCCATAGTCGGACAGCTGCAATTACAACAATCGACACGGCAGCGGGTGCTAATCCAATCAACCATACGGGAAGACCGTCTGTGGCAAGCATGCTCAGCAGTGAATTAGCACCATGTCTTTGGAAAGACTAATTGATCTTTCAAAAAGGAGGTAGTACCTCGAAGATACTTGGCACCAATGCCAGCGATCGTCAGGACAATCCAACCAGGTAGAGCCCAAAAGAATAAGGCAAATATTCCGCCCAATGGACCAGCGCGGAGCAGCCCTATAGCGGAAATTGTCTATTAAATATTTAGAAATGTTAGTCTCTCACCATTACCGGAGCATTGTAAAGTACAAACCATTGTCGATGTCGGGCCAGGGATAGCCGAAGCGATTGATAAAACTTCTAAAAATCTATCGTCGGTCAGCCACTTCCGTTTATCTGTGGGATGCATTGAGTTATGAATTACACCACATGAAATCGGTGATTATAAGTACACATACACACGAATCGATCGTGAGCAAGCGCAAGATGAGCTGGAGGTCCACCAAACGCGAACAAAGAAAGCGGAATCACCTCGCGGGGTATCGAAAGCAGCCGCTGTGCGTATGATTCACCGCTGTGCAGCGAGCTCGCCGTGCCCAAAGGTAGCAACGGCTTAGTCTCAAGACGGGACATGGATCTTGAAAGAAAAACTTGGTGTTTGGATACTTTTTGTGCATTTTTCAGCTTCTCTGTGATTGGCTAATTGTAACCAACGTATATGTCACGATTTTGTATGCATTCAAATCTATTATCACGGTCGGCGAGTTGCTTACATTAGGTGAAATTATCGTGTTGTTGGTCTAAAAAGCTACTAAGGAATTGACTGCTCCTTATTGTTTCTTTCATTGCTGTAATGCGGATCTGCCTCCATATTAGAACCCGTTCTGTTTTATGAGTTTTGAAGTGTTGCTTCGTATTGACGAAGTACTTGAGGCAAAGAAAGGGATTGTTTTTACCGCCACTTAAATATGTTTCCAGCGCACCTTGCACAGAGAGAGCAACACAGAAAAGAGTTACGACATAAATATCATTTGAGATTCGCACAGGCGAGGTTCATGAACCGAGAGCCTCTAAAGTATCAGATAAACTAGGATGTTTTGCCTGTTCAAAAGTGACATATATTCAGGACTGCTTCTGGTTAATACGTTTAGCTATATGTGATACCGAGACTACCTATGTTGCTTGACATGCGACTAATTGTCCACGTGAAGCACGGACGTCCTCCGCACGGATTTCCATCATCCTCGTGAATAGAGGTTTTAGTATTTCTGAAATCACAATTATACGAAAATGTAGTGTGAGGATTGCACAATTGTACGGAAGTTACGTGTGTGCAGCACACTCCCCCCATTACACCCTCCACACCAAGATATGAAGCAAAGTTTGTGTAACGGGATTACACGTACCCTGGTAACAGGGGGGTGCTGGACATGGTGTGACTGTAGCCGAATAAGAAACGATTTAGATTTTACTATATATTAAGGAAAATCTATAGATTTAAAATTAGGCGGCTTTGCCGCAGATAAAACAAATAAAGTCAGTTTTGAATTTAAACGACTAATTAACGGAAGAGTTAATTAGCCTCGGGTCAAGGCAATTATTACTCTTAGAGTTAGCGGATTGCGATCGGCTAAACACGTACTTGTTCTATGTATAGAACGAAAGGTCGGTGACATAACTTACGCTTCCTCAAAGCGCAAAGCTACGGCAGCCCCGCTGCGGAGTTCCACGTACCCTGGTATGAAAGGGTGGGTCAAACAGGATAGTGTGACCATACAGAGGTGTGGAGTAAACAAGACGGTGTAATCACACAATGGTGTAACTGCACCGTAACAAGAAGCCACTACGTGGCGGGACTGCTAGTAGTTATGCATATTAATTTGGTTTTGTTATTTAATTGGGAAACCTATAAATTTGAAATTAGGCGGCTTTGCCGCAAATTAAGCAGATAAATATAGTTTCAACTTTGAACGGAAGAGCATATTTACCCTGGGTTAAGGTTTTGAGTACTCTTGGGGGTAGCGGATTGCGATCCGCTACACTCATATTGGTTCAAGTATAGAAAGTAGGGTCGGTGACCTTAGCAAGATTCCTCTAAGCAAAGAGATACGGCAGCCCCGCTGCACTTAGTAGCACTAGTAGTCAAACCACACCTGAGTCGTTATGACTGATCTTCTGCGAGGATGGATCAGTTCTCCTGTTTGCTCCGGGCACGCCCGACAGGCTTATAATGCTGATGTTCCTGCTTGGCCCTGAGGGCGTGCAACACCTTGCTCACAAGGACCTGAAGCAATAAGCGCGCACCTCGAGGCGTTTCCAAGTAATGAAATGCTCTGCTTGCGATGCTAGCGTCGACTGCGGCCATGACGCCACACTCGGCGGCGGATTATTCCCCCCGAATTAGGCCGCTCATGGTGAGCGTTAAAACCTTCGAGGGTAAGGATGGGGAGAATCTTCTGCTCTGGGTGAAAGAGGCCGAGATGACTATGGCGTCCGCCATGCTTCAGAACAAGCAACAGCGCGTGGCGCTAGCTAACTCTAAGCTCGAGGATCGAGCACGAGAATGGGTGCTGACGTGTGACACTTCAGTTAAATTGGCGTTTTTCTCCTGGACGGATCTGAAGCTACAGCTGTTACGACTGTTCTCGCCGCCTAACCAGGCATATCGCGCGCAATCGCGGTTCCTTACCGCCCGACAGCAATTGGTTGACTTTGTCCAAAAGTTGCAAACTCTCATTGCCGGGATGGCCGCCGATCCTCTCCCCGAGGCGGTAACAGTGACCGTCTTTATGGAGAACTTCCGCACTGGCTGGTCCGGGTGCATCCGTCTTCTTATGAAGAAGCAAAGAATGTGGCATTGAATGCCGAATTAAATTTAAATCGGCACGACTTGGTTGGAATGCACACTCTCATAGCTCGTCCAGCGGACCTGGGCCAATGGATCTCAGCTATGCTGAGAAAGAAGGGGGAGAGCTCCGAGCTACCGGGCAGCGTTCAACACCGGCGGTATTTTGGCTGTGGAGACACCCGTCACCTCCGAACTGGTTGTGTATCGCTCACGTTTACAATAAGCTCGACGCTGTCACCATTCCGGCAACGTCGATTCCTAATATGGATGTTCTCCAGAGCAATATGGTTGGCTGTACAAAGTACAGTGCCCTCGACTTGGTCGATAGGTATTACCAATTGCTCATGAGAGCGAGTAATATTCTGCTGACAGCGATGAGTATTCTAAGTGGGATGCTCTGGGAGTGGCTGGTGATGTCCCAAGGGCCATCAAATGCACCAGAAACATTTAATCGTCCTGTGACACAATAGTTTAGGCTTCTTCGGGCGTATATGCAGACATACTTCGACTGCATATTTGTCAACAGTCGTGCGGGGCACGAGAGGACAGACGAGAAAAACCAAATCGTTAGTTAGAGAGCAGTGCTCGAGTGCATGCGCACTGAAAAGCTGTATGCTAATGTCGATAAGTGCATATTCGGTGCGGAAGAAATTCCCTTTTAGGGTGCTCCATTTGAAAGTGTGGCCTTCAACGCGGATCTTGCTAAGGTCAACGCCGTTGTGGACTGGCCGATCAAAGTTTTTGCGCAAGTGAGTTGGCCTCGCCAATTACTTGCACAAGTATAGTGCAAATCATGCGTATATAGCACGGACCTTGTCGAATCTCCTTAAGAAAAATGCAGAGTGGTGTTAGACACCGTGCATCGGATGGCTTTTGACAGGGTCAAAAACAGCCTCCTCTAGCGTTGCCAGGCCCCGATCGCCCTTCAGTGTCGTCTGTGACGCTTCGGACTTTGCCATCGGCTGGGCACTCCTACAAGCAGACGCCGAGGGGTGAGATTGGGTAATCGCGTTCGAATCTCGCCAGCTTAAAGCTGCGGAGAGTAACTACTCAGTCCGCGACAAGGAATAAGTTGCGATGAAGTATGTTTAGGGTGCACCTGCTAGGCTCAAAGCCGTCCGTGATCTACACAGATCATGCGTCATTTCGCTCTGCGGCTAAGTCGCCTCACCTCTCGCAGAGGATGGCCAGGTGGCTCTCATTCGCAGGATATAACTTCAAGGTAAAATATAAGCCAGGGAAGCAGGCTGCTTTGGCTGATGAGTTGTCACGCAGACCGGGTTATGGGCTTGCTCATGTCACGACGGTGTCGTCGTCAGTGACGGATTTGATCCGCTCCGCATACGCGGGTGATAGTGTGTGTGTAGCGCTGCTTCAATCTCGGGAGCAAGGAGTTTTATAACTCGGACAAGAAGAAATCGGCGCGATTGCGCGCACAGTTACACCGATATTCGTAGCATAACGGGTTGCTGTATTATTGCACCGAATCAACGGATACGCCACGAGTTGTAGCTCCTCACGATAAGGATTGGAAATATCGTATCTGCTATAAGGCTCACGACACCCCACTCAGTGACGTCTCTCGGTCGTGCAAAGACGTACAGCTCGGTGAGTTGCCACTACTGGTGGCCACAAGCTGTACAAATGGACGAGCATATATGTGCGCACGTGTGAGACGTGTCAGAGGTCTAAACCCACTCCGAATGCGGCGGCGCCGCTGGTCAGTTTATTGGTACCCTCCGGTTGTTGGCAGTCTATGAGTATGGACTTTGTGTTTGGTCTGCCGAATGACTCGGCGGGCGACACGGGTGTGGTGGTCTTTGTCGACCGCTTGAGCAAGATGGCTCATCTTGCGGCAGTGCCGGACACCATCGACAGTGTGGGTACAGCGACGCTGTTTGTCGATCGTGACTTTCGGCAATATGAAGTCCCGGAGTCAGTTGTCTCTGATAGAGACCCACGCTTCACGAAAAGTTTTGGTCGGCAATCTTCAGAGTACTGTGCACCAAGTTGACTATGTCAATAGCGGACCATCCGCAGACCGATGGTCAAACTGACGCGTAAATCGCTTCGTTGAAGACATCCTTCGCAGCGTCCGCGCTGGGACGCTGGTGCGCTAGAGCGCGATGCAACTACTTGTGGGGTTCGCTCTGAACTATATAGTGCATGCGTCTACCGGCTACACACCTTTCTGCGTGAGCGAACTCATTCATCCTCGCGTCCCGCTGACGCCGCCATTTCATGGCTCAGGGCTTGTTGTTAGAGGAATAGCCGGACGGCGAGCTGATGTCAGACTGAGTGTCTTACAACACGTTCGCGATGCGATAATTGAAGCCAAGACATGCAGAAAAAAATTGCAGACGGAAGAAGCAGAATAAATGTTGTAAACTTTGAGGTCGGAGACCTGATTTAATTAGCTGCTAAAAACCTTCCTAGACATATAGTCCCTGCTGTCTTCAAGACGAAGGTTCGTCCACGATTAATCGGACCTTTCAAGGTCGTGGCCAAGCAGGGCCTTATGTATACGCTAAACCTTCCGAGAAGGATGCGCACCCACCCAGTGTTTTATGTGGGCTTGCTTAAGCCGTACCGGGATCCGGTGTAAGTTCATGCGGAGGCGTTGGCGCCGGAGCGGCGCTTAAAAGCGCCCAACCACCCAGAAGCTTGACCGGCAATGGTTTTGAGCACAGAGTGCAACAATATTCGTTTCCAATGGCGCAAGGCGCTCCACTGTCGCACAAAGAGACGTATTCGTCTACTCGACGGCTAGGAGCCACTCAGACAGAGCAACAGAGAACAATAATCTTCAGCGTGAGGCAGTCGGTGCACAAAGTGCTCCAGGCTATCGAGGTCTTCCGCGCAGCGATATGCGACCCTAGCATGATGCTCAGAGATGTTTGATTGCGAATGACCTCGTCCTCGATAGCTCGAAAAGCATTACGAGTCACCAGGCGACGATCGACCAAATCGTCATCATCTGCTGCCTACTCTTCTCGACGAGAACGGCGGCGTGCTCTTCCACGTGGAACGCCTTGTGGGTCGACGTCGTCGACATGATCACACTCAGTATCTTGTGAAGTAGCAGGACACTTAAATTCCGAGAGCTCATGGGAGTTTGAGGTGCCACTTCGGCAAGGCTGCCCAGAAGTCATGGACGCTTATGATTAGAGCGATCATAACGCTCCGCGTCGTCATACGCCCCGCGCTTCTCGGCAGTAGCCCGGGAAGCCGAAGGGCCATGAGCTGAGCTCAAGCTATGGCTCTGAGCTGCTGTGATCGTGGGCTCATCTGTGTGAGAAACCAGAGAGCTTGATGGATTTTTCCATAGGTCACAGGGCGACAATACGTCGGAAGTCGGCGTAGCGCCGTGAGGATGGCAATCTCGATACTAAGATGGCACTGAACGCGCACGTCCCCTTCCTTGTGGCTCCGCTGCAAATGAGACAGCGAGGAAAGTATCCGGTGCCGTTGTACCATCGCTACAAGATCTTTTTTTCCATCTGCAGCGGTTTCGCCAGGGCGAGCACCACAGGAATCGTCCGAGTCCTCGACGAAGTCATCCGTCGCGGTGGCGGGCGCGGTATGCGGCGCTTGGTTGACGAGGGCTTAGAAACCAGCAAGACCGGGTGTTTTTCGTTTCATAGACGTAAGGCTTCTTGAGCTGAGAATGCGTGAAGACGGATGTAAATATGTCTTAGACACGCGACCCTCGTACAAGGCGACAGTAAAATGTGAAGTGTGGGTATCCACAATTTTGATGGGTAAAAGTGTAACGAGGTTACACATACCCTGGTATGAAAGGGTGGGTCACGCAAAGGTATGGATTACACAAGATGTTGTAACCACACAATGGTGTAATTGCACCATAACACGAAGCCACGACGTGGCGGACCTGCCAGTAGTTATGCATATTAATTAGGTTTTACTATTTGATTGGTGATACCTATAAATTTAGATATGGGCGGATTTTCCACAAATAAAACAGACAGATACAGTTTCAATTTTGAGCGGAAGAGTCCATTTGCCTGGGTACTCTTGGAGGTAGCGGATTGCGATCCGATACACTCATACTGGTTTCAGTATAGAACGTAAGGTCAGTGGCACGAGAGCACCGCTGCAAACGAGATGAAACTGACTTAGGGAGCCCAGCTGCCTCATCAGCAAGCGCAAGAATCACACCATTTCTGTTAATTTCATCACATCATGAGTACTATCGGTAGTTGCTCGCCAAGCTGAAGAAGAGCTCTGACCTGCCTGTGTCGGCGGATCGATCTCTCACGCCAAGATTAGAAAGTTTCTTCCCGGGCTCCTTCTATCTCACGGGTGGTCGCTCCTCGGGAGTACCCTCATTGCTTGAAACAAGATATAGGAGACCCCTTCCCTCTACGAGGGATCAAATTCGGTCACTGAATGCTTTCGAGAGCATCGAAGAGCCCCGTACTCACTCGTTCGCTGGGTGTGTCTCTTAACGCTTGTAAACTTGCTTCATTAAAATGACTGTTCGACAAAAAATTCGATTAATCCCCAGTCTTGTGAAGCATTAAGGACTACACAGACGTCGTGGCGCAAACCCATCATGTCCTGTCCTTCTTTTTACCAGCTCTGCTCGTCTCCATAAGACCGATATTACAATAGCGAGCAAGTATCAAGCCAACAGCAACGTGTTCCAACTCGCTTGTGGAAAGCGCGTTGCGACTGACCATTTAACTTCTCCTCAAATAAATAACCGCCAATGTTGAGCCAAGTCGTTAGCGGCAATGGTGCCAAGGGAATCTTGCTCACCTCACATGCCATGAATGTTCCGACTAAGGTTTGGTTGTGACGGATCCACGACACCTCTGAGAGACATGGCGTACGTCCAGAATTGAGATAAGTCAGATCTCAAAAGCGTTCTTTGAGCTACGGTATCTCACGATGTACTCCGAAGGTATTGCTCTTTAATGCAATAGATAAGGTTTAGTAGTGATGTGGCTCCATTTCAAGAGAGGTCTTTACATCCGTCTGGCTTGTATGAGCTAGATCGTGATAGATAGTCAACAATCCTGCGTAAACACAGTGGGCGTCAAGATATTTAGGGCGATGTTAAGCGTATATTTCAATCAATATTCTCCTTTGTTTCGATGCAGCCTGAACGCAATATTGTGTTGTGCTTTGTAGACAAACTAAGAATATTTATGAGCTTTACTCCCAATCCGTGGCTATTGTGTCTAGCCGTCATCTGTAATCGGCTTATGGCTTCTGCACATTCTGGCTCGCATCCATAGCGTCGCGCACTCGGCAATTAAAGCGCAATCTTACTGATAGATATGTTATTTTGCTAAGAGTGATATCAGCAAGTCAAGTTGTATCGTTGGCCCCACCAACAAGGAAGCCATATCGTGACGACGCCATAATACTTATGCGCTACCCCAAAGCATTGGTGGAAATGGGTAAAGCCTGAAGAGACATGCACGTGGTTATCTCACGAGTGAAAGCGAATTGCAAAAAGACTGCAATTTCTCCACGTAGGTGCTCCGAATTGACATCATTTATCATGCGAAGAACTCGTTTCGTATAACTATCTGTCTGGGAATGGTCAGCACCTGACATGTTCGATTTGATACCTAGCTCTTTAAGCAGAGTTTTCCGAAAGTTCTCTGTAAAGTGTGAATTTTTATTGATCCAATGTCTATTGTCAAGATCAGTTAACAAACCCTTTGTCGAGAAACAGCTTGACTGCAATTTAATTTCTAACTTTGTATCTGACAGCAGGAAGGTGAGTCATCTTGCTCAGAGGGCGCTCAAACAAAACAATGCCGTTATGACGAGACGCATCTTCGAAATACCAAAAGTACAATCCATACTGATTGACTGCTGATTTATTGTATAAACCAACAGGCTGATGAAAGGAGCCGACGCATGTGACATAGATTTTAACCCATTGACAGGAAGGACGCGTACATACACATTTGCGTATTCACTAATTCACCATAGCGCTCCCCGAGCAGTATGTGGTTGATGACCCGAAATGATGTCATGCGCCTCAAAGCGCATTCTAGACTTCAAGGTTTCCTCATTAGCCACAGCTTTACGCTGTGTCAGTGTTGTAATGAGCAAGCCTTGGGATAAGGAAGATTGAGTTTGCAGCCGCGTCCTTCAACAAAGCGACATCTGAGCTCCCGAATGTTTTTCGTTGCCAGCATTTAGCAACACAACAAATGTTGCATCCAGACCATAGACCGTACTTATCATCTCACCAACTGGCGTCCTCGACATGAGACAATTCGTAGTCAAAGCGTCGCGAACGCGTATCCGCCGCCACATTAAGTTGACCTGGCTTATACATTATCTCAAAGACAAACTCGCAAAACAAAAAATTGATATTGCCATTCGCTGAGGGAAATGTGAATATAACATTGCTGCGCAACATCATATTATATGTATACGTTATAGACGCCTTAAAGCTGAGCAGGTGTACTCTGAGCTTAACAAGAGCACACTCTACTGAAATTTGATTCTTGTTGTGAACAAATAGCCTTTTCGCTCCTACTTCAGGTTGGCAAGATTTGATCGCAAATCTCAAAAATGCTCAAGTTCATCAGTATATGCTTGAAGTTAGGCGCACTTTATGGCAAAGGCTGACAAAGCGACGTAGCATGGCTTATCTGAATCAGGAAAAGCCAGGATTGGGGCACACATGAGGTTTCTTTTTTTTCGCAGCACTGAAATCCGTCTCTTCTACAGCTCCTAAACACCCATCAGCATTCATAGTAGTAAAGTTGGACGGTAGTGCAATGTCAGCATAGACTGCATTGTACTTGTGCGATTAGCTAGCCAGGCCGAACTAGCTTCTTAAATCCTATTGAGATAGAGTCAGTGGTCGTTCGACAATGGCTTTGATCTCGCGGGATCTGCTTACAAGCCATTCTTCACAATGAACTAATCCTATAAATGGGGATTATCAGTTATAGAGACGCACTTATCTATATTGGCAAAGTTCAGTCACGCAAACACTGCTTAGAAGCTATCAATGTGGTCTTTGTGCATAGTCACGATGCGGCCTGAGCAGCTGAGTCACATCGTCGCTGATGAAACAGGAAGTTCTTGTGATATTTTCCGAGTATCCTGGTCTAAGAACCAATCGCAGTGGGGGAGGAGTAATAATACCTATCAATCAGGCCAACAGTACCAAACAAAGTGTAATCATACATGCTGTTCCACAGAAATTTATCGAGAAATGAGCGAACGCGCCCCTAAAGCAGCCGCACCTAGCCTTTTTAGCGTGCGCAAACCGCATCATGCCGCTAGCATATCTAGCGCAGAAAGTCGATGTCGAGGGGGGGATACGCTCTCTATCCACTTCGTGCTTCGCACCGAAAAAAGCGCAAGCCCCACGTTGTTTCCTTTCTCAGTACCATTGTTGTGTACGGCTATATTTGATTTGGAATCCACGAATTCATGATGCACTTACAAACGGGGTAGTGCAGGGCGCTCTCACGTAGTGGGTTTCTAGTAATCATACCAAGGTATAGATAGGTCCAAGAAGGAACTAGATAAATTGTGGTATCCTTTAGGATGAAAATTCACTCCTTTTGATCGTTTCATCTAAGTATCAAAAATGATTTTCTATCCGCATCGATTGATGAGATCAATCTCCTATTTCGTTGCCAACACTCCTTTATTGATTTCACCAACTTGCAAATTTCGGTTCATATTCTTAAGAAATAATTACTTTCGCTGATAAGATCTTCTTGTAAAGGTATTTATGCAAACTGGAGATTGCGATATACAATTTCTTTACCCTTTTTCATCCAAGCCCTCGGATGTTTGCTGCTTTTGCTTTCTAAGCGGTACTCAAGGCACGGAGCACTATCACGGCTAGACGATTTTTTACTTATAACAACTACAGAAGCAGCCGTAGCATTTTGCGTGCGCCTATTGCGCTCTTTTTTCTGACAAAGATGGGCTAATCACAAGTAAATTATCCTTCTCGTCGCTTTATCATTGCTCTGCAAGGCGGGTACATCAATTAATAATACTGACGCAGTAGTAGCGTAACGTAGTGATCATCCATTTCTAATTCAGGGTCAGACATTCTATTTTATCTACAAAAAATTTCATCTTCGCCGGCGTCGGCAAAAAAACGCCAGCTTATACCTGTTTTGCGGCCGTTCCACCAGAGATGCACTCTCGTCGCCGCGACAATAGTGTGACCTTTTTAACTTCCATTAAATCCATGTACATGGCGTTCAGGCCATGCGGGATTGAAATTACATTGCGAATACAGGTCTAGGTTTTACACACTATCAACGTTTTTAGATTTCATTGGAAGACTTAACAAAATCACCACATACCCATGTTGTAAGACTCATGAATAAGGTATCAGTTGTTGTATCTTCAAAGCCTCTCCGTACTGTAGTTTATTGTCGACAGTCTGCATGGTACGTGACTGCAAAACGACCCCTATTGTATCAAGACTTTACATCGCTTCTCAGAGTCCGGGACTTTGATGCTAATAACCAATAGCTCTGGGCTGTGTCACCACTATTAGTCGAAAATGCTTATTGAAGGGCTGCATCCCCTGACCACGACCTCCACGAGACACAATAGAGCCAAATTATTCCACAGTAGGCTTCCCTGCACTCACCGGGACTCGACGTTTCCCCGCGCCGTATCATCGTACAGATTCGTGGGATCTTGATCTTCGTATCTCTCAGCCAAGTGCGCACGGTCTAGCCAGATGCTATACTACATCCGATGAAGCTTTGCAAGCATTTCGAAACTACCTGGCAACCGTAAAACCTCTATTTTACCTCTTCCTAGCTATGATCTATGCTTGTGGCGCGCTTATAAAGGTTTTGCTTCCGGTACCCCAGCCGGTCCTCGAAGTACAAAAATTGTATTTTTAATTTGATGAGACATCCACCGACCCCACGAAAGAGGTAGGGTTGACAAGAACACCTCGTAGCTAGTTGCATTTTTTCGGACATTAAGTTTTAGCTTTTTGCCTCTGCTATTGCAACGATTAAAGTGTTACGCCTGCACATAGACCGCTAGCCTTTACATCCGTTGACATTTGGTAAAGAAATTGGCACGCTCCTAATACGCCTTGGTTAGGCGGTGCGAGCATGTCGCTTTCAATCTTTTCATGCTGGGATTGTTCTTCCACAGTAATGCTGCATGTTGGTGCCCATTCTCGCGCATGGCCTTCACGTTTAAAGAGCGGCGCACTGTTGTCTCGTCAGCGCTGTTCGGCTGTGTCGCTAAGAAATTGGACTAGCTGCACGACTCATTTGTTCGTTTTCCAGTAAATTTGAACATAGAGAGAGTGGTTCTTTCGTACCTTAAGCTCATGGGAGTGATTTTCAGAGAAGGCGAAACGTCAGGCAGTTCATATGTACAAAAACGATTAGAATATCATGAGATAGAAAAAACTTTGGATGGTTCAATTTTGTAAGCTGTCGTATCATTAATCGATCTTTTGTATTTGCAGCTATGCGCTCCTTTTTTCACCGTAACAACAATCTGCATGCAACCAACTTAATATTTGCTAAATTACTTCTGCTGTCGCAAACTGCATGACTTCTATTGACACAAACTCATCGTTCTGCTGCCCTCACTTTCGGTATGGTCCGCAAAGATTCTGACTTACTAATCAATATGCGCTATGAAGTCCTGTACACCACAGCTGATAAAGACAGTGGTTTCTACCGCTTTTGTTTAGCGGTCTCGGGATATTACAGCGTAGATTAATATTGTGCCATTTTATGCTGTAGGCGAAGCTCGAAGAATACATGGATAAGTTTCTGGTCTCCGTCAGACTTTCAGATTTATTACATCATGTCTTTCGTTAAAGTCTCATTTAAATATGTTTGCTGTGATCGATACACTACATTGTGAGTACCTTTACGCTGCAGTAAGTAATTCGGCCATTTGTTTGTCGCTTACTCTCTGTTTCCAAAAAACTTCGTACGCTGACGTTTAGGAAAGAAACTGACATAATGAAGCCATAAGATATGCCCATTTCGAGAATGGGCGACACAGTCGTTATCATGCCGATTTTAACAAAAGTCGTATTATATATAGATTAAGGCCAAGGTCGCCATGTCCGTCCGGGGGGCGGTGACAGAGGCAAAATTCTCAGAGGCTTTGCAGTTTGCAAACGATTCGTCTGAAAATTCAAAGCTGCAGCGTCGTCATTCTAAAGCGCTTTCTCTGTCGTCGCTGTCGGATGAGAGCTCAAAAGACACAAACTTTAAAGCTTTTTCGAATGAGGCATGTCGTGATGTTGAGCGTGAACTCGAAGCCCTTAAAGCACGGCTACACGTGTTACAAAGACGAAGGCAACATCAAAATACCAGCCAGGATACAATCACTCCATGTAAGATTAAGATGCAAGGCGCTTCTGTTGGTCCAGGCAAGATCGACCATGCTTTGATGTCTATTTCATCCTCCGCGCCTTTAATCGAGACAAACTATTCATCAACTGTTTCGACGTTATCAAAGGCGCAACAAGAGGCAGAAGCTGTAGCAGACCAAGTGGCAACAACACTTAAGAAATGTGATCAACTTTTGCTGCGGGCCAAATCTTGTGGTAGGTTTGCCAGGCTACTTTATGAGACAAGAGAATTGACTTCGTCTTTGACTATTAACAACAGACACAACGTGCGCGTCATCTGTGAATAAGTTAGAAGATTGTATCCAGCAAAAAAGTAACGCAATAACGGTGCCAAATTCTTATCGACTATCCGATTCTGCAGCAAGTGATGTTTCATCAATAGGATGGGACGGGAAATATTCATTGGCTTCTGAGGACCAAGAAGCCTTGTTAGGTCAAAAAGTAGCTTCGGTTAAGCGCTTCGCTGCACGTTGCCACCGCAACATTGCAGTGAGCAATAGCAAGATTGCGTTGCATCAGCAGCAAACACAAGCTGCATATTTAAAGGAGCTGCAGCGCAAATTTGAATCAAAAAAACAAATTACGCTCATGGCTCTTCGCGAGAAATATGAAACAGAAACAAAGGCACTAGTTAAGGCAAAAATGGAAGAGTTTGAGGATGAAGAAGCTAGTGCAGTCAAGATGACTCGCGAGGCGCTTATTGATGAGCGCAATCGAGCACTAGAGGAAATACAAACCAGTCACAATGCAGTTTTGGAAGAATGCATAACTCAACTGAGTTTGCAAACGGAGCGAGAAAAAAAAGAACTTCTTAATAGGCTGCAAGACGAACGAAGCCGCATGCTTATACAGATTCAGAGCGACAATGACTCATCACTTAGGCGCTGGGAAGTCGAGCAGAGAGATAAACTAGAGAAAGAAATGTACGAGCACCGAGAAGCAGCAGTGGCTACTGCCCTTCAGTCTCAAGAAGAGCGAACTGCAGTGTTAAAGCAGGAGATTCAGGCATCGCACGTAAAAAAAGAGGAAGAGGAGCTTCAAAAATTAAAAAAAGCACTCGCGTTTGGAGCACACGCTCAATTGCAACAGCTTCGCAAGTTGCTAGAGACAGAACACATCGAAAAGGTGCAGGATATTGAGAATGAAGCTAGACTCGCTCTTGATAAAGAATTGGAGAATTTGAAGCAAATGCTGCAGAGGTCTTACCAGGAGCAACAGGAACAACTAAAGCGAGATCTGGACAAAAAAACACGCGTAGCGGTCATGGATCTTCATGATACAATGCAAATTGCTCAGCGGGACAGTTTGAATGCGTTGAGAGCTGAAGCAGAACAGCACAAAGCTCAAGCGCTAGCTAGTTTTCGTCAAGAGAGTGAGCTTAAATGTCGTAAGGAACTTCAAGAACTCGAACAAAGCCTTCAGCAGGAAATGTCTGCGAAGTTGCGGCAATTGGAAAGAAATCACATTGAAGAATGCGAGCTTAAACTGGAGCAGTTGCGGACGCGTGCTGTAAATTTACATGCTCGCGAGCTGGAAGCAAAGCGATCACGCATGATTCAGTGCAAGAACGTGCTACTCGACGAAGCTACTGCATTTCTGACCTTTGACAATAAGCTGTCGGATGATTATCGAAATAAAGCTCATTTAGTTGACAAATCAGCAGCTGCTCATTTATCCGAGCTGAAAAAACATTTGTCAAAAGAATTAGCACGATACGTGACTGTGATGGTCTCGGAATTCGACGAGCTTGCCGAAGAACATCAAATCTTGGTGGCCAAGATTACAGAATCAACACAGCTCTATTTGTCTTTTAAAAGACAGTGCGGGGTTTTTGAAGCACAAACAGCGGAGCTCTCAAGTGGCATCGAAACTTTGAATGAGCAACTCCAGAGGAAAGATGCTGTTTGTAAAGAGCTATACCTGGCTAATGAAGCATTACTTAAACGTGTTCAAACACCGGCAACAGAGACTTCTATGGTTAAGGGCGAGACTTAGTTATACTAAAAAAAATCTAGTAGTTGTTTGTTCACTTCACTTCCGGTTTCATGTGGGTCGAATGACAGACTTGCAAATTTTCTGAGGCTGTCAACAACATCTGGAAAAGTGGAAGGGTGTTCCAATCCAAAAAAATGTTGAAATTTGAAAAACCACTTTCACACGATTTCCTTGGCGCTGTTGTTGCTTATCCTAGACGCACCTTCAGTCATTACAGCTCCAGAAGAAAAAAGTTTTGCCTAGCAGAACGCATTTTTAAAAGCAAGCCTGTCTTTGTTGTATGTACACAGTAGCTTGGCAAGCAGTCTTACAAAAATGAGCATGGCTTTTTCAGCGAGAGCTTGAGGTGTGAGCGCGTATCTTGGCGTGTACGTCGCGCTTTGTACTTCGCAGAGTCAAGCATCGAGCGACATTTCATGCTTCACTGAAGCTGATGTATATGACCGAGAAACGGTGAGGCCACATGACTTGCCCACCCCAGTGCGCGAGTCGTGTGCGATACTATTCGATACTTCGCCAGCTCATTGCACTATCCTCATAGAGGGTTTGCAATGACCCAACGTCTTCAGATGCGAACACGCCAAGCACTCCGTACTCACGTTTTGAGCACATTTTCGCATTCCGCTTAATCAGAAGGCCCGCACAAATATGTTGTAAGGGTATGATGCAAAGCGGCGGGTGCCTTCTGATAGATTCGATCTGTAACCCCCGCGCGATGTAGTCTGCACAGTTAATGCGAGTCTTTTGCTTGAAGTCGATGAAGTTAGAGCCATGTCCAGCTCAGTTTTGCCGAGAGACCCGCGGCAACATACTCTGCCCCAGGGAACGCGCAAAAATTGTGTAATTTGTGTCAAGGCGAGGCTATCGGTGGAGAAGTCTCGGGAAGGTTTATTCGGTGAGTGCACATAAAAGAAGTAGGTACTGTTCTTTTGTGTACGAACACCTAACACCTATTCAAAATACAATATTGTACCGTTTTACGCAACCCTCAATGAACTTTTTGTCGAATTGTGCCAGCACTCAGGATGATGGGACTTTGTAGATGATAGGTCCGTGATCCGTGTGTGCTGTCAGCCTCAGAATTTATTTCACTTTCGGACAAAGTTAAACGTTTATAAATCGTTTAGTCTAAATAGAAAAAAATCTTAAGAAATGCTAGTCTTAATATAGCAGATTAACACAGTACTAAGTTGTTTTACGGGTTTTCGGTCCCGCTGTTGGGTGGAGCTTGTAAACCTACAGTCAACGCATTTATTAGAAAATGCGGATGTTTTGACACAAAACTAGGTTGCACGACAACACCGCTGCACTCTGGGTTGACCCACTTTATCTTTAACGAACTTGAGCTGTCCAATAGTTCTGTGGCAGTCGTTGCAAAGCTTTAACGCTTTTTGCCCTAGCAGACTGGCACGGAGTGCGAAGCGCATGCTGAAGAGAGACAGAAAGTAAAATGCGCATTCTCATCAGTGACCGCATGGTCATATGTCTCCAGGTGAGAATGGAAATATGGAGTCAGGATGGACGAGTTTTTACGTTCGGTTTCAGCGGAAAACATTTCTATTTTCGACCAATAGTTTCCTTAATGTTGCTGGTTGCAAAGGTCGCACCATTCTGGAGGATTTGTAGCCACATGATGGTGGATACAGGAGATAATTTTTTGTGTAAATTTGCTATTTGGAGGAGGCACTGAGCTGTTATGAAGTGGGCTGACGCTTCACGTGCAACGGGAGCCCATTGAGCATTAACTCTTTCGCAAGGTTTTACGAAGACAAAAGAAGTTTGGAAGTAAGGTCCATATTTTGGTGAGGGCTTTATCACCACACAATTATGAGCAAAAGCGCAAAAAATGTCAATTGTACTAACTCACTTAACGCACATTATAATTGTGAGAAATTAAAGGTGTTGAGATATTGGCACTCTTGTGGATGATGCTATGTCTTCGAAGCGCTAGAGGCAGTCCACGAGACTTTGAAGAGAAAATCTAGAAGATCTTCGACTGCATGTTAGTTCCCGGTATCACGTGTGGCCTTTTAACGTGTAGACCACAAGTATGCGCGACGTTTCTCTATTTTTTGCATGGTCAACTCCATAGCAATCTTAGCTTCTCTCAGAGATAGAGAGTATAATCATCTTCTCCCACCAAAGGATGAGCGCTTATCCTTAGCGGCCCCACAATTGAAGCCAATTACGCTTCTACCTGCGGCCCGGCTGTAGATTTCCCTGTGATATCTCACTTGCTTATTATCATGGCTCATCAACACTCGAAACCAAACGATTACCGTTTCCGGCCTCTAACCAAACCATTGCCGCGTCTCTTCGAGACCAACGATAGACATGATCATACTGATCGTGTCTAGGTGCTGTGAGATTAATCTGTCGAGCAAAATAAATATTCGCATAAGACAAAGTAATTAAGAACTCATTCGTCAGACTGACCAGAAGGGCTACCAAGTGCAACAGAGTAAACGTGCACTCTGCACAAAGGAGTTTTGACCTGACATGACTGCGTTAATAATACCACAGAGGATAAGCTTGTACGCGATAGCGAAATTAGCCTTAGTAAGCACATACCTAGTTTGCATTTCTATTCAGCAATGAAATATATCTAAAGTTAAGTACTTTTCAAAATAGATACACTGAACAATTCTCTACTATCTAGTAAATTAAAAGCTTGTTTTTGCTTAGCGAGAGCAAGAAGTTCACGTGCTTTGCAGGTCTCTTTGAAACAGAACAGGTACTTTAATCTTGTGTACTTAACCCTTACATATTTGATACAATTGAATTGATTACAATACGATACGATTGTACGAAACTCACATAAGACTAGGTATGATTATTAATATTTTTCAATACCGAGATATCGGTATTCATAGAGATTTCAGAGTATCAACGAGGAGGGGTTCGCGGCGCCTGTGGACTGCTAGCTGCACATCAAAGATGAAAGACAGTTCTATGTCTTGTTGAAAAACTAGTTCGATAAAGATGGGATCTTGAAATAATAGAGCGAGCTTACGTGTAAGTCACTATAGAGTCGCTCGGTTCCGCACCCTGTGGAAGCGCACTAACCCATCCTCTGTACTTTTGTCAGTGCGTGCTCCGAGAGCCAAAGCTCCCATTTTGCAATGTTCACGACTATACAGTTACACTTGTTGGTAGCACTTGTAGTTAGTCTCACCGCCGACTCGTGAAAGACTATTTTATGCTCTGTCAAGATGAAATTTGAGATATTTTAGCACATGCCCACAGGACAACTTGACAAGCCTAATAAGGTTATGTGCAGAGCTGGCGCCGACGGGGTCACGAAACTGGCGGCCAAAAGGCCAGACGTCGTAGTTGCTCAACCTTATGCGTTCGCCAGTTCAAAATGCATTAATGGAAAACCTATTCTGAGTAGCGGCACTCACGGTTACGTCATCGATGTTAAGCGTCTAGACTTTTGTGAATCGAAACAGATGTAATCCATCTCTTTGAACGAGTGCGTGGGATTGCCATGCATCTGACCATTCCGCGAAATGAGTAACAGTGTGTGAAATGGTCGTTTCCAACAAGGAGATATTCGAAGCGACGAATGTCGCGAGTATTTGCACTACCTTACCAAGCGTAAAATTCTCTCAATCGAAGTGAGGTGAGAGTTATCGAGCTATGGTTAGGAGTACGAAATGCCACAGTGACGGTAAACCCTTTTCAGACTTCCCGAAGGCCGTAATGGTTATAGTCCTCACAGAATGTCGGCAAAAAAGTGCGGCCCGACCAGGATTTTCCGCGCTCGTCCAATCGCTTTTAAGAATGCGGTCGGTGTGGCACTAAAAGCTTATTACAACTCCCGCGCGTGTACAGAAAGTGGAGGCTCTGCGAGCGCGTCAAATGCGATAGACCTCAGTTATTGTAAGCAATCAAACGGGTTTTGCAGATGTTTCACCTCTTTGTCTGTGGTAGTACAAAGCATCTGCACCTTGCATGCACACCTTGCATGCCCCCTTCGCACCTGACTAAGCAGTACGACTGGCTGGACCAGCAGACGGCGAATCCCTAGCTGGAATACATCAAATCTCAGTTGGCCCTGGGAGGTTTAAGCGTAAGCCACCTTGGCTCAATTGTACCTCATAAAATTTAATGAAAACCATTCACAAAAGATGCGACTCTTTCCTAAAAAAGTGGGGCTCAGCGTCCAGTGTTGTGGGTTGCCGATATTCACATTTGCGTGGTTTGTAAGCCCGTGAAAAGTCCTAAATAGATCTAGGCACCGTGTATTTACGTACGACGAGCGACTTTTAATAAAATGGAGATTGGTAATGCCAAATATGGAAACGATAAGTGATACTTGAATTTGCATCTTGCGATGTAGATATAATGACGGATCTGTTAAACCTCTATTTTGTAGCGGGGTTACACGTACCCTAGTGACAGGGGTATGTACCTAACGAGATGTGCATGGTGTGACCACACCCAAACAAGAATACCAGTAGTTATGCATGGATTTAGATTTCACTATATATATTTAGGCTATTTAGGATAATCTAAACTTTCAAAATTAGGATAATAAACAAATAAAAATCAGTGCTGGATTTTAAACATAAGAGTCAATTAGCCTTGGGAAGCAATAATTACTCTTGGAGTAAGCGGATTGCGATCCGCTAACTCATACTTGGTTCTTGTAAAGAACGAAAGGTCGGTGACCTAAAATACGCTTCCTCAAGCGCTAAGCTACGGCATCAGCGCTGCACTTGGTAGCACTTGTAGTCAATCCACACCTGAGTCGTTTAAACCGATCCTCTGTGAGGATGAAGAAATTTTCCTCTTTGCCCCAGGGCATGCAGGACGGGCTTAACAAGCTGATGTCCTTGCTTGGTCCTGAGGGCGTGCAACACCTTGTAGCGCAAGGTCCTGAGGCAATCGGTGCGCGTCTAGAGGCGTTTTCGAGTTACGAAAACGCGCTGATAGAGCACCTACAGCAGAAGATGACTGCATCATTTGCGTCTAGTACGCCACCGTCGGTGACG